AGCTGCTCTAACCCTGGCTATATTGCACAACACTTATAGTACACAACTGTTGTCTCCATGCGGTTGGTTGAAGGTGGGCACCAGATGCTGGGGAATCTGGTCCAATACTGTGGCATAAAGATCACACCGCTGTAGCTGCCACCATCCCTGCTTTTCTGGGCTTCCTTTGACCCAGGAGGAATATGAGCAGAGAAGAGGATGTCCATGTTGTACCCTTCACACCTATACATATTAAAGAGTTCTCCTTCTATGAACTTTTCCCACTCTTTGAATATTTCTGTTTAGCCACTGCTGTTTCAGACACAAAACTATTTTGCTGCCCCAGATGCTTTGCTTTCTCCTTCCACTGTGAAGCATATGGCAGATATAATCCTTAATCATTGTTTGCATCATTACGGCTTCACTGATATAGTGAGTAAGCAATTAAAGATTTAAACAGGATGCAGACATGATTAATATGTGTAAAACGCATAACTAGAGGAATCTAAGACACCTTCCTAACTAACTTCCTGCATTCTATAGCAACTAGTTTACTATTTAGGAGGTTGTTCTTTGTTGCAATAAAGTGTGGCCATTCCTTTCTCTGGAAAGGAAAGGACTTGAACCAGATTGCTATTTAGATGCAGCTACTGATAAGATTTTATTTCAGTGATCTTATTCATGGAAGGGCAGGGATTGTAGAGTCACCTTGCCCAATAGTTCCTTAGAAGCTAGTGTGGGCATAATGGTGCTGCTCCAAGCAGTTGGACGGAGATAATGAATTCTCTCTGTACATGTCCCAGTGGCCTTAAGCATGATGAAGAGTTGCATTGACACCCATGCTGGCCATATTGGAAACTCAGGAGGTTCCCTCTTAACCAGAACTCACCAGGCAATTTGAATCATGGGCAAGGTGAAACCTTGGTTCTCATTAACTGCTGATAGCATCCTTAAATGTTGTAGTCCATAACTACAATTAAGGCCAGTGAAGGAAGTGTAGGGGATTGTGGAGGGGAGGACAGAGAGAGCATACTCTTGTGGTGTGTACCATTTCCCAGTGGTAGGGGTGCTTTGAATCAGAGTCTTTAAGATTCTGTAATTCTAGTGAATGTTGGCTCCTGTGTATAAAAAGCATGTTTTTAAGGATTATCTAACTCTTTCTATTCCTTCTTTCGTTTTACACTTCAGCCAATGTCCCTTCTGGAAATGGATGTTATGTAAGAAGCCATGGTCATGTGTCCAAACTGCTTGGTTAACCCATCAGCATTTATGGGTTTCATCAAGAAGAACAAGTTGGTAGAGCAGTGTGCTCACTAGTCCAGAGGAAAGCAGCTTCTCTGATGTTTTGTTAATACATCATATTCATCTATGCTACTTTCAGAGCAGTTCTGAATGTGACGGTGGTGGGTGGGGGAAAGCAAGAAGTTCACCTCTTGCTAAACAGGACTTTCTCAGGCACCCAACCCACTATGGCAAAATGTGCCATCTTCTTGTGATAGAGGTACCATTGCTCATGGTATGAATATTTCTCCCACTGTTTTCTCTGGCCCAAGTTGCACATAACAAAATTCCACTTTGGGTGTATTTCTCTGTGAGGCTTCTTGTTGAGGTGCAGCCTTAACTTGCATTATATGCAAACCAGGTGAAGGTGGGTTGTGAAGTCATTAACAGGCCACCCGCAATCCTAAGACAGTCAGCGGAGTTTTGGTGACTTGTCAACGACCCCAACAGCTGAGCCTCACAGGTTCACATGTGCACATGTCAACAAGCTGCAGTGCATTCTTACCATGACCTGAATATTCAAAATGGCGGCCCCCATTATAACAAGTATACCTGTGGGGAAATTCATCCATGCTGGCTTGTCACTACATGTGAAACAGGTCTCTCTCTTCACATCTTTTTGTAGAAGTTGTACAGAGCTTAAAAACAAAGCATGCAAAAGTCTGTTGCCTATGGGACAAATGAAATGCCATGGGAAACAAAGCCTGTATCAGGCCACCTTCAAGTCTCTGAGTAGCCATTGTCTGTCTTGTCCTAATCTGTTCCTTTTGTTTCGTAAATTGGCTGAGATGTTGAGAGAAAAGATCCAGAAGCTGCAGAAACTCCAAAAGCTAATCTAGGGTAGAGACATACAATGTGTCTTTTTTCCTGAACACAATGAACCGATGCATCTTGGTATACATCAATAGCATCCTGGTCCCTCTTGTCTCACTTTTGTCTTTACTCAGTAATGTACCAGTGGTAGGGGGAATCACAGGGACAGACAAGAGTGTCTCTTCTCTGTCAATGCAATTTTAACAAGATGTGTAAAATGCCGGTATTTGCTGATGAAGAGGAGAGACTGTATATATGTTTGTGAGCCACCTGCAACAGAACTGAGTGTACCCCCATGCAAGTCTTAAAGCAGAAACTGAAGCAGCTTTGTTTTGTTTGGATTCCTAGGCTAATGGAGGAGGAAGAAGCAGTCAGTGGGAGAATGGAAGATGTCCTTGGGCAACCGCACTCTGAAGTCTCAACAGATGTGTACAGCTCACAGTTTGAAAGCATTCTGGACAATGCTTCTTTATATTATAGTGCCGAGTCGCTGGAAACATTATATTCTGAGCCTGATAGTTACTTCAGCTTTGAAATGCCACTCACTCCAATGATCCAGCAACGCATCAAGGAAGATGCTCAGTTTTTAGAGAGGACTTCTGATGTGAAGGTTGAGAAGGGCCCTTGTGATGCAGTCTTCAATGGCCTAGGAGAGGTGAAGGATTCGGAGATCACAGATGCTGACAATTTGGAAAGGTAACTTTAGCTGACATTGACTTTGTACTTGTGGCTTGCAGTTGCTGTTCTTTATAATCTTAGCATGCTAGCTGGGTGTACTGCACTCTGAGATGAACGAGAAGAGATCCTGGCCTTCCTCTTTGTAACAGCCTTTTCAACTACTTGTAGAGTACAAAAAATATTTTATTACAAACTAGCGGCTGAATAGTTTGCTAGCTTCGATACTGCATAACCTCCCCGGGCTGTCTGCAGTGGTGCAGTTAGGTCATTTTAGACCCTGGACTTGATGGTTTTATTATGGTGGGGAGCCTTAACTAGTCATGTGAGTTACTATAGTTATGAAACTTGCACCACCTTACTGTCGGAAAAGATGATTTATTTTAAAAGTAATTAAATGGAAGTCAGCAAGCCCCTCTCCATAGAATGTTTCTAAAAATACAAAGAAAAGATGCTTCAGCAGGGTCGGTCTCAGTGCGTAGAGACCAGTGTGAATGCCACAGCTCCTTGCCACCAGTCGTTTCCTGGGAGGTCATGTATCCCCCTAGGCTTTGCAACCCTGGTCTTTGTCCCTGACATCCAGTCCTATCTGCACCTCTGGCTCTATGTGTATATGTGTTCTCGGTGCACAGAGACAGACAGTGCTGTGAGGTAGTCCTTGCTGGAGGTTGGTTTTGCCCTCATTTATCCCACTTTCCGCCAACCATCATGCCCTTTTCCTATATAACTTAATGGGAGCCCGTGAAAATTTGAGCCTTTTTATATCTGTGCAGCCTGGCCCTGGGTTCTGTTTCTTGGCCATGCTCGAAACTTTGGTGGGCAGTAGTTATGTTTGGTAATTTGGAAAATTGTCCTGGCCACCATGGGAGGCATGGCAGTGGACAAGTTATTGGCCCAAAAGACTGAGTTCAAGACTGAGGTGGAGGCTGAGTCCCAACACACCTGCAGACCCTTCAAGCACAACAGAAACCTGCTTTACCACAATCAAGCTCCTGGTAAGAAACTGTTAATTTCAAAAAACGAAGTTGGAAGGGTAGTGCCCGGGGGTGCATTGGTGCCCATGCATCCCATGTTGCCTTCCCCAAGCTATAGTATAGCAAAATTCAGGAAACTGACTTTTGTGTATTTAAGTTGGCAGGTATGCGATAGAACTAATTTTTAATTGTTTTGTTTGTGTGTTTTGCCTGGGAGAACTGGGTGAGTAAAATCAGGGAAGGGTAGTGTAGGACAGACAAGGCAGGGGAAGAAGGTAGGGCTTGCGAGGGGTACCCAGTGTCGGGCCAAGAGATGGCCTTGGCGGGAATTACAGGTGTTGCTGTCTGCTGCAACACCTGTAACATGTTTGCCCTTCTCCCTCAGGAGATGCAAGGATACACTTGCCCCCAGTGCAAGCTGGTGTCCCTCCTAGAGGAGGAGGTGAGGTTCTGCGGGCTGAGAGAGCTCTCCAGGCCCCCCAGGAACAACCCCCTCCAGACAGAAGGTAGTGGGAGGGGCTGAGGGAGAAACAGCCAGGGAGACATGGGGACAAGTCACCCACAGGAGGAGGAGGCCGGCACGGGGTGCAGATAAGGGGAGCTCTGGATGTGAGTTACCACTCCATCTTTTGCTTTGGGATCAGGGGAATGGGGATGAGCCGCAGTTCTAATACTAGATGCTGAGTCTTCATGAGGGCCAACTTAATTGAAGGCCAGACTGGGCAAATTGGTGAGGGTGTTCAAGGATAGCCTGGACATGCACATGGTAGGCATGTCATGAGCGGAGCAGGCTGGAGCCGGGGGTCAGACTAGATGGTCTGGGAGGTCCTTTCTGACTCGCTCTGTTTCTGTGTTTCTAACTAGCTCCTTGGGGATCTGGTTAAAAGTCACAGCAAATTCTGTTTTATACTAGATGTGAAACGTTTTTACTTGGTATATGACGCAGAGAATACAAAGCAAACTTACTCCCTATTTCAGTTAATCCCCTTTAGATAAAGTCAGTTTTTAAAACAATAAGTGGATTGTCTTCTTCCTTATGTACTTGTTTTTCATGGACATGGAAATTTCAGATCTAGGACTCTCCTGCCTTCAGTGTGGAATGCTGCAGCACCAGGCAGCAAGGACCAAATTACATGCAATGCTAAATATGTCATGACAAGTACCATTAATCTTTTTAAATTTATGTTAAAACATTATAAATAGACTGGGAAAGAGTGGGCACACAACAAATAACAACTTTACTTTAGGCCTGCAGGGGTGGGGAGGAAAGGGTTAACACACTACCCTTGCTATTTATAGTGCAGAATAATATAAAGTTTCATGGTTCCTGCAGTGACATATTTAGCATCACGTGTAATTTGGCCCCAAGCATGTAGAATAGCCATTAAAGTCTGGTGTTGGATGTTGTATTGTGCTTGGGCAGTAATGTCTTAACTACGCTGGTGTGTTCTTCATGGCCATTCTTTTCCTGAGGTGATTGCTTTGCTGTAGGAGGTGTGCACTTAGAGAAGAAGCAGTTTGTTTCCTATGGAGGGCATAATCACAGGGATAAAAAAAGAAATTGATACATTCTGGTGTTGACAAAAGAGGCAGAATGAATTTCCTTCTCCTACAGTATCAGAACATCTAAGGAATATGGTTCTTGGAGTGAAATGGAACAATATTGCCAATACATAATCTGTTTATCTGATACCATGAAGATTCAGAGGAAGGCTTGTCTTGAGTAGACTGAAGGCTTGAGTAGACTGAAATTTCCCGGTATCTCAGGTGGGATACTAGCTGCACAATGTAAGGCCGGGAACCTTTTCAATGTGCTTTATCCAAACTCTGTCATCTCTTATCCCCTAGCTCACCATATGTTGAGGCCTCCTAGATATGTGTGTCTTCTGGGATATGTCAGGAACTCTTATTCAAAACCCCTGCACGGTGCCACATTTCTCTGTTCCCATAAAACCCCATTGTTTGACAAAGGCAGTTGCTTTTGCACCTTCACCATCAAGCTGAGCTGAAACAAATATACATACCTGCAATAGCATGTGCTAACAATAGAGATTAGAGAACTTTACCTCAAAGCTCAGTCTGGCTTGCTGCCATTCTCATTTGTGGCCTGTTTTTCAGTTCATTTGAATGGGAGAAGTTGCACATTTTCAGAAAATGACACATTTTTCAAGTGTATGTTGTGTGTACTTGAATGCAAGTTCAGGAATTTGTGAACATTTGTGGAGAACACATGCTTCTATTCATTTTTGCATTCAGGATTGCAAACTAGGCAATTTTGAGAGACTTGCAAACTGAAACAAAATTTGCATACATCCTTAGCTCACCATCAAGCATTCTTATTCTCACTTTCATCTGTTTATCTTACCTTCAGTTACATTTTAGATGATGAGTATCTCTGAGCAGATATATTTTTTGTTGCTTATGCTGCCTTCTAAAATTCTAGAAACAGGCAAGCAGGTCTTCAATACTGCTGCCTTGATAGCTATCTGTAGCCATGATGCCAGTTCTGGGCCTCTTCCAATGTATTACAGTAGATAAAATAAAGCGCATGCTCAGGTTTTTCTATTTGCGCTGGTTTCAACTCAAGTGCTTGGTGGTGAGGAGCTCTCTCTACTATCATGGACAGGCCATTATGCTATGGCCAGGTTTTTTGTACCATTACAGGGTGCCAGTTGTTTGCTTGCTGATTTGCATAATTAACTGGGTGTGGCGTCTCAATAACTGGCCTGTTGCAACAACAAACTGGCCTGGTGTTCAACAAACTATCTGGAACCCATGGTCTGTTGCAGGGTTGTGAGGTGGTTTGATAAGCAACCCAAGAAGCCCCTCTCAGTAGATTTGGGTGACACAAGAGGCCATTGTGGTGGAAGCTCAAATTGGCAATCAGGTGCCTGCTGGCACTCACCCCACCAAGGTTAGCAAGCTGTGGTGTCTTGTAGTGATCTTACCAACCAGCACTGTGTTCACATGTCAAAAGGAGCAACCCCGTATAGTTTCCATGGTGTGTCTTTTTGCGCCTAGATGTGCCCGTCAGATGATAAAATGGTTTTTACACTACTAAGACCTCCCATTCAGGCTTCTCACACGTATCCCATCAGCCATTGTATTTGAACTTCAATCCCACATTGGGCAGCTGGAGTAGCTCCTAGAGCAGTTGCCACTCTTTTCAGAGGATTTGTGGTAGGACTGTGGAAACCACGATACTGGGTTTGGGCAATCAGAAGAATTGTGTGGAAATCATAGAGCAGACTGTTATTCCTTATAATAGTTTTTAAAAACAAAATGTACAATGTTGAAATACCACAACACAGTTCAGATGACATGATAGACCATCCAGTGCAAGGAAACACGATGGCTTGTTTTGTTGTGTGGGTCTGCTCTAGGCTTATGAATAAAGCTTCAATTTATCCCAAAGTAATCCCAAGATTTGAGCCACCCGGGCTGGAATATTTAGTAATTGCTGTAAAGCCTTTAATAGAACACTTAAGGAAGAAATCCTGTGCTTGTTTAGATACAGGAAATGGTTTGTCTGTCTAAACATGTGCAGGATTGCTTCCTAACTCAGTATTTTCTGTCTTTTAGAATACCTTATGAACAAACATTTCAGAATTTCTTTTCTTTGAACCTCTTATTAATCCAGGGACGGAGGAAAATAGCCAACAAAAGGCAGCCAACTGCACTACAATGTACAGCTTCCAAAATGTACAGCTTCCACTAGCCAACTGCACTACAATGTACAGCTTCCAAAAACTGGGACATTTAGGTTATCTTCTAAAGCAGCTTTCCCCAACCCACCTGGAAGAGTCCAGTTTGTTTAGTTGTTCTAAATAAAGTTTGGGCAAAAGACAAAGCTCATTGCTTATTCACATTGAGTGCTGGCAATTGAGTTTCTCCGTGCTGCATGCAATGACAGAAAGAAAACTAGGGCTGAACTAATCTTCCCTGGGGAAGTTTGCAAACAGATTTAGTTGGAAATTGGAACATAAGCTAAATATACCTCCCTTTTTCATTTGGATGTGCTTCTAAGCTTGGCTGGTGCGCTCAGTT